TGCACTCCATAATTTGTAGTCTAGAATGCAGATACTAATCCTACACTTAATAAAATCCCAGAGGGATTTGAAGGGTCACAGGTAGCTCAAGGTCAGTTTAGCTATTTCTTACTAGACAGAAAATTCCTTAAAATTGACCCATTTCTGATGCTTTTATTTTCTTCTAAGTCCTTACAATATTTGCTAGAATTACCATGCAACAGATGGTCCATAGTAAATTAATGAAGTAGCTAATAAATGCTTACCTTTTTAAATGGTGGTCTACCTGGGGGTGGGGAGTTGTGCTCACCTGTATACCTGCAGCAGGCCAGAGGTCAACTTCTGCTATTTTCTCTATTACTCTCCTTATTTAACATTTATTTATTTATTTATTTATTTATTTATTTATTTATTTATTTATGTTTTGAGACAGGGTCTCTCTGTAGCCCCAGCTGACCTGGAACCCACTATGTAGACAAGGCTGGCCTTGAACTCACAGAGATCTGCCTGCCTCTGCCTCCCGAGTGCTGGGACTAATGGCATACTCCCAACCCTCCACCTTATTTTTTGAGACAAGACCTATTGAGCTCAATAGGCTGAATGGTCCCCACCCTTCCTCAGCACTGAGATTACAGATGACCACCACCACTCCTTGCTTTTATGTGGGTGCTGGGAATATAAACTCAGGTCATCAGGCACTGAGCCAGCCTCTAAAACTTTCAACAGCAAATTTCACAGCGAACTTCTGAATAACTAAAAAACTAGGCCACTATGCATTAACAAGTCCACTTTAGCCAAAAGTGCTTTTGTCCCAATTACCTCCTATCCTATGACAATGCTAACAACCACCCTTCTCTACGTTTGTAACTTTTGGTTACCTCAACTCTGGACATACCAAAAATGATGGAGAAGAAACATTCTTCTAATAAGCGCTCTGAAGAATACTTATTTCTTCAAACTCAAAAAAGCCAAGACTGGAAATTTTCAGTGAAGACAGGCTCTTGGTCCAGTACTGTCACCCCCAATGGCTTAACATTACAAACCCATGTGGTACATGCACTTGCTGAAATCATGTTTAAATTAAGAGACAGTATCACCAGTTACAGTAGTCATCTTTTGTAGCTCATCAAATGCACCCCATAAAGTACTATCACACAATTCAATTAAGCACTAGGAAGAGAGAACATTCAGTTATAATCACAATCTCATTTAAACATAAAACGTATATCCTTTTATACTTGACATTTTGACTGCACAGTTGAACCTAAAATAATTAAATACAAGCACAAATGAGTATGATTGCATGCAGCAACCTCCAGCTAGGGAGGTTGCTCAGTGGTAGAATATTTACCTGCCAGGCAGAAAGCCCTGGTTTGGAAGTCCCAGTACTGAAAGAGAAAAACACGCAAGTGCCTGCCTTTCCAGAACTCGGGAAACTGAGGCAGAAGGAGCATGGAGTTCAACGCTACCCTGGGCTATGTAGAGTTCAAAGGTAGCCTGAGCTACACAGAAATTTAAGACTAGCTACACAGTGACACCATCTTGTTTAATGGTATACAAAAATTAAGCCAAACACAGTATAAGTTCTAACACTGCTACACTATAACATTATTACTCCATACTATGATGTCATTAGAAGGTACATGTCACTTTTTTGTTTGTTTGTTTTTTGAGACTGGGTCTCCCTGTAGTCCCAGCTGGCCTACAACTCATGAAGACCAGGTTGGCCTCCATCTCACAGAAATCCACCTGCCTCTGCCTCCTGAGTGCTGAGATTAAAGATGTGTGCCACCAAGCCCAGCTAGAACTGCTTTCTTAAAGTAATTAAATTAATATAGAGCAAAACTCACTTGATTATGACGCAGATTCCCACCCTCAACTCAGTCACAACTCACCAAAATTTTTAATTTAATTACAAATGTATTAGTGTACCTTTTATCTGAAAAACATCTTTAATAAAATTGGAAATAGTTCCAGGAAAGCTGGGGCTACAGGGAGACCCTGCATCAAAAAGACAGAAAAAAAAAAAAAAAAAAGAAATAGAACAATATTTGTACTACCTGGTCTATGAAAGGATTTTTGAAGCACTGTTCCTTAGCTATTATCTCTATTTACCAAAGAAACTGAGGTCCATATAAATGAAAACAGTTGGCCCTACAACCTATATATATTATGTTGCTCAACACTAAAATCTGTATTTTCAACCCTTTTTTGAGACAGGGTCTCTCTGTAGGCCCAGCCAGCCTGGAACTCACTATGTAGACCAGGCTGGCCTTAAACTCAGATTCGCCTGTCTCTGCCTCTGGAGTGCTGGGATTAAAGATGTGCACCAACATGCCCAGCAGTTTGAACTCTTTCTAGCACACCACAACTCCTTTCCCAAAAGTCTCAGTTTAAGTCTTATTACCTGAACTATTTTAAGTAGGCTGAGCCATCATCAAAGTTCTGAAAAATCTTTTTCCTGCACAGTAAAAACTTTCACCTTCAGAGTCATTGGCCATCCATGTCTCTTGAACTGTATAACATTAATTAATAATTATTCTTACATCATCATGACAGAATCTATTATCAGTCCCCTTAGCAACTATATCAATGGTAATGCTGTGGCTGAGCTAAAAGAGTCCTCTTAACCCAACTTAATTCCCATTTTTGCTTAGCTCAACACTAGAAATAGCAAAAAAAAAAAGTCTTCCAGTACTAATACAAACTAAGTGCACTGGTCAAAGTATTTAAAAAGAATGTAGAAACAAGCAAGCTTATACACTACCCAAAATGCAATGCCACCCGGGAAAGCCTATATCTGCCTCTTAATTTGGGCCAAGTAAATTCTAAAATCAATTTACCACCACTTTCCCCCCAAATTCTCCCATTTTCTCTCTGACAAACTATTCCCTAAAGTATCCTAAAAGTAACTGAAGGCATCCTAGTTCACAGTAACTATTTCCTTCAAAACAAGAATGCAAATACAATTTGATATTAAGTTACTACACTGGGGCTGGAGAGATGGCTCAGGGGTTAAGAACACTGGTTGTTCTTGCCGAAGACCTGAGTTCGAATCCTAGCACCCACATGGCAGCTAACAACTGTCCGTAACTCCAGTCCCAGGGGATCCGACAGTCTCTTCTGTCTTCCCCAGGCACTGCACAATACAGGTGCACTTACTTACATGCACGCAATACACACATACACATAGAATAAAAATAATAAATTTTTTTAAGTTAAAAAAAATTACTACACTGGAAGTTTAATGTTTAAAGAAATTCTGCAGGGTCTTAATATAATTACTCACCCTTCTCTTCCATATTGTAAAAATTGGCCTTTTATAAGCCAGAGAGAAGAAGAAATGTGGACCAGTAAGAGAGATACAGGACTCTTCTTTACTGCTGTACGGTTAGCCGTACATCAGACATTTTCTCTGCAGGTAATACTTTTGAGAACTTCACACTTGGCCCTTTTCCTAGCCATGTAAGTACATCATTATTGAGAACTTCTTCATTTCAATAGAGAATAGAAGAAGAGTTTGATTTCTTAGGAAATAGCCATCGTGTCTGTTCCCAGGCCACCCTGGTCACCTACAAATTTTATTTTTTTTAAGCCCATTTGGAAAATGGTTCTTCACTAAAGGCTGTACCCAGACAAAGGCAATGTTCAGAGTACCCAAATAAACCTTCTCTAAGGGAAATAAAATGCCAGAAAAGGAGCGGCATGGGTCGGGATTAATGAGGGGAGAGTATTAGCGCTCAGTGTGAGGGCTGCAACCAGGAGGCACTGCGCGGAGATGCTCCAGTAGAAGAACCAGCAGCAGGAGGAAGTTTCAATGGGGCCGGGCAGAGCATGCGCCCTGCACCCGCGCGGTGGCCTTATGTGGAAGGAGCACCACTTGCGAACACCAATAATAGACCAGCGGCACCAGAGAGAGAAACATGAGCAACAAGCACCTTCTTCAACTGTTTCCCCCGCCGTCAGAGCCCCTCCTCCAGCCTACAGACTAACCACCCCACCCCACCCTGCAAATGGGAGATCGACTTCTTCTTTCCCTGAACCCTGGTGCCGAGATGGGGGGGGGGTTGAGAAAAGTGGGGAGATGCTTTTCTATTATTTTGGGGGAGGTGGCGAGAAGGAGGAAAACTATGGAGAAGGCGAAATTAACCCTCTCCTCCCCAGAGTGGAGAAGCTGAACCGACTTCACCCCCCCACCCCCGCAAGAATGGGGGAGAGCCCCATCCCTGGCTGGAGGAGCAGACCTTCCCACTGGGAGGAAGGAATTGGGGGGGGGTGTGAACCAGCCCTCGAGGGGAAGGGGAGAGGCAGGAGACTACTCTCTCGGGGGAGTTCCCACATAGAGAAGGGGGGAGGGAGGAGGAGGGTAGAGAGGGAGGGGGAGAGGGAGAGGGAGAGGGAGGGAGGGGGAGAG